CCTGTTGCTTGTTTCAGGGTTTTTTAAATTTATTTTTTGTTTTCTTGAACTATTCTTTTAAAGCGGGAATTTAACATTACTCCTGACTACCAAGCGAACCAAAATTTAAGTCACCCCTGAATCCCCTGGGGCTGTGCTACTCACTGACGTGTCTTTGGGCAGTAGAATTATAGATGGGCTGATCCATCAATGAAATGCTCATAACTGTACCTGAAATGCAACAGGAAAAAGCAGCTGTTTCTTTCCTAATTCTTACTATTGTCATTTTTCCTCTTCTTCTTTAGTATGTTTGTCACTCTCTTGTGACCCGCTATTTCCGGGGTGCCTTCATGGTCGAAGCAGACTTTGTGCTGTTGAAGCTAGAGAGGTGAACAGAGTAAGTCTGATTCCCTGTGAGGACTTCTCTGTTAACATCCACCCCTTGACGCTCATAATATGACCTTATGCAGTAGCGAGCGCCGTAAAAACTCTACTAAAACGAAAACTCATTCCTGATTACGATTTCTCTCTTCCCTTCAGCGAGTACGGGACAAGTCCACGGCACAGGTGTTCATCATAACCCTGGCGATCATCGATCTGTTCACCTGCATGGTCATCATCCCGTTCACCATGTTCGTGGAGTACACCGAGTACGACATCAAGTTCGACTTCCTGTGCAAGCTCTATCACTTCCTCATCACCTCCAAGATCCCGCTCTCGGCTTTCATCATGGTCGCCATCGCTTTCGAGCGGTATTTCTGCATCTGCCACCCGCTGAAGAAGATTATCAACCTGACCAGAGCGCGTATCATCGTGGTCTGCTTATCCCTGCTCTCTTGTCTCTTCGGCGTGATAACGTCTCTGTTTTACGGCGTTTATCAGATCGTCGATCGTGTGGACAGTCGGAAGATAGACCAGGTGATGGGTACAAACTTTACCAAGTCTGTCGCAGACTTGGACAGTATCGTCATGACAGACGACAGCGGTGCGCTCTACGACGATCTCTACCGGAAGCTCATCGAGACTCTCCGCGAAAAGAACTACACACTAGCCTTCGGGAACAATAACTCGCTTCCAGTGACTCACGAAGTGGTCTACATCGGCATCTGTAGCCCCTCACGCGTGCTGCTGAGTGGGACGATGTTCCACGTGTACCAGCGAATGTACACAGCTGTGTACCCTATGTGCCTCATCACCGTCATGGTGCTGTACCTCATGATCTACCGGTTCATGTGCCACAGACGCTCCAGGAAGCTCCAACAGAAGCTCATCATGTGCTCTTACGTCAACGGGGACGGCACGTACGAGAACACGCGACTGGTGAGCAGCCCGAGTCTTGGCGAGTCGCGGAAAAACTCGAGAGCGAGAAAACTTTCCGAGGAAGAGCAGAAGAGAGAGTTCGCCAACTCTTTCATGATGCAGACAGCGCCCAGCAGCATGACATCGCCGCAGATCGAGCTGATGGTCATGCTGACGTCAGAGGACGCTGCTGAGACCAAGTCTTCCAGGCCGCCCGTCATCTTGGACGACGTGCCCAGAGTTATGACGTTGCGGGAGACGTCGCTGCGAGCAGAAGTCCGGAGCAGGATGAGCAGTAGTCCCACGCCAACCACCGCATCCTTCATCACAAACCTGGACGGAAATGAAAACGCAGACGACGACAACGCCTCCATTATTCTAAACAGCTCCGGAAACGGCGTCATCAACAACTTCAACAACAGAAGCAACAACAACAATAACAACAACAACAACGACGACAACAACGACGACCACCACCATCACCACACCAACGGTGGTCACCACAATAGCATCCCCAACCACCACCACCTGCAACATAACCACCACTTAAACAACAGCACCAGCAGCAACCACGATACCAACTATCAATCTCCTTTCAGCGCTCCCGATAGCGTGGACACATCGCAACAACAACAAAATCAACAACAACAACAACAACTACAACAACAACTACAACAACAACTACAACAACAACAACAAGGACAAGGCAGACGCCACTCGCACTACCCGGACCAACAAAAGTACCACTGGCACAAGAACAGAGACTCGGTTAAACGCTACAAGTGCAAAAGTCGCCGCAAACGCTCCCACCACACAGCGGCTGGCTACGAGGCGGATCGGCTGCGAGAAGAGAACCGGGCAGCCAACGCCAAAACGGCACTCATGCTGTTCACAGTAGCCCTGGTGTTTATCGTGGCCTTTGTCCCCGCCTGGATCATGGCGCACAGACTCATCCCGCCCAATCTGGTCATCTTCTATCTCTACTTCAGCTACAACGTGGTCAACCCTTTCATCTACGCCTTCATGAACCACATCTTCAAGGATTACATGAGGAAGATGTTCATGTGTAAAGACATTAGTGGACTCAGGAGGTCTTGAAGCGTTGGGCACTGTGTTGTGGGCATGTTATTTGCTAGGGTTTTGTGTGTGTGTGTGTGTGTGTGTGTGTGTGTGTGTGTGTGTGTGTGTGTGTGTGTGTGTGTGTGTTTGTATTAATTTGTGTGTTTGTTTGTGTGGGTTTTTTTTGGTAAAAACAGAAGTTGCGTATGAGGTCCTGAAGCATTAGATACTGTGATCTTGTCATATTATTTGCTACGATTGTTTGTGTTTTGTATTATTTTTTGTTTGTTTCTTTGTTTGTTTGTTTTGGTAAAAGCGATGCATTGCGTATGATTTGTTTTGTGGCCGGAGGTTTTTAAGAAAAAAACAAATATCATCATTGTTTCAGACAGAAGGATTAGGGTAGGGTGTGTTATAGATGACCCTCCCCACCCACTCCCCCCCCCCCCCCAAAAAAGACGGTTTCGTATAATTCGTTACGTGAAGGGAGCGTTCTTAGTAAGAGCAATTAATATAAGGTAACGTTGTGAAATCAGACCCCCGTCAAAACAATGAAATAAAACAATGCGGCATTTTTCTCGGTGTTGATAATTTAGGTCAAATTTTCTATTTATAGTGCAACACTTTTTTATGTCCTTTTAAAAACGCATTTCTTAGTAGATGTTTCGGAGAAACGTTTATTAAAGGCTCGAAATTTGTAAATGTCCACTTTCCAAGGACTCTCAAGCTTAAAAGTCACTACACTTTGGCGGCCAGTTTTTCGCTAGCTTTACCTCTCATACCAGACGACCCCACCTTCTTCAATCATCTGGACTTAAATTCAAGACTGAGGGGGTGGGGGGGGGGTTGCCAAGTGCAAGGCAAATGAACATGCTTTAAGATTATATTAATAACTCTATAAGCCCAAAAATTGACGAGCGCCTGATTTCATCGCGTCGTGACCCAAATATCATCATTATTTCAGACGTGAGGGTTGTGTGTGTCATTGATAACCCCTCTCCCCTCACCCCCCCCCTTTTCCCCACCACCACCAAATTAAAGCCCAGTAAGAATGTTGAAAACGATGACGTCAACGAAGAAGGAGAAAAAAAAATCCCCAAACCCCAAGAAACCAACAAAAATTAGAGCAGCTTCAAATAGAATAAGAAGCAGAAGATACGTACGTGCTAGGATGTCAGAGAACAATCTGAAAAGGTCACACCTGGGACTGGAGCCGTTATAGTCACCAAAAAAAAGTGTTTCCATCTTGACAGAAAATCCCGCCTTTTTAATAAGTCGGGCATGCTAGCTAATCATTACCTCCCCTTTTCTGCCAGACAGGGAGTCACGAAATATATAATACGGCCATGTTCCCTTGTCGTGGGCACTGAGTCGTAAAAAATTATCTTTGAATTTTCCGTGTCGGAAGCCAGATCCAGAGCCAAATGGAGAACCAGTAATGGCGTATTTCCTGTCAGCCTTTACAGACAGAGCCACGTATGTCCGCGACAGAACAATTGGAACCAGAAAATGTCACACAATGATAGAAAGATGGCCTCATGATGATGACGCTGATGCCAAAAGTGACTCGTGAACTAACTTGAAACTACAGTTAATTGAATGAGGTGAAGTTCTTCATCTTTTACACAACGCATCAAGGAAGCCACATACATGGGTCTTGCAGCTGAACTAGAATGAAATGTAAAGCGTGCTGACAAAATGAGTAACTTCTCGGATTCAAGCTTTATAGAAATAGATACATCACGCTTACAGGTGAAGTTTTTACAATTTATAAGTAAAAGATAGTAAAAGAAAGGTTATAGTTAAAGGATATGACATAAATAGAAATTCTACAAATTTGACCTTAGTGTCGAATTTTGGCCAATATCTCCATTTGTAGATTGCGAGAAGTAACTCATTTTGTCAGCGCGCCTTACAAACATCAGCTGGAGATGGGCTGGGGGGTGAATGTGAATATATATTCAAAAATTCCAGCAGTGATGACGGTGGTGATTCCGAAAGTGACTCCTGAACAAACTTAAAAACTAGAAAGGTCAGGTCAATAATAGTGTACCGCTACAGTTAACTATTTAACTAACATGAGGTTCTTCATCTTTTACACAACGCACCACGGAATCCACATGGGTCTTGCAGTTGGGCTAGAAAGAAATATCGGG